GACTGCGGGAAGTGGATCCAAGAAACGAATAACATAATAGTAGTATTAAACGTACCTAATACTGGCAGTGACTGCGGGAAGTGGATCCAAGAAACGATAACATAATAGTAGTATTAAACGAACATAATACTGGCAGTGATTGCGGGAAGTGAATCTAAGATATAAAACAAACGTTTATATACATGTAAAGTTAAGAGTAGAGACTGTAAGGCATGATGAAGGAAAGCATTTATTGCGACGTATTTGTTCTTATTTTAACACTTCAATTTAATGCCATTACTCGCGATTTTGTCCAGAAATTTAGTACCAGAACTTCAAATTACAATATCCATATTAGTTGTTTGTAGAATCAAGAATAGGATGTGTTTTGCTTTGTTTTTAGCCTTACGTTTAATAGCTTTCTGTCTATCAGTTCTATTAAATATCTTTAATTTAAGTGTCACTATCTTCAGATTCGTTAGAAGATTTTAAACTGGGAAATACTTCTGATAAGAATATATGTTATAAACAGTTTCTAAACAACGTCTCAATTGGACAAATCAAATAAAGATAATAATCTTTTAAACAAGGTGGAATTTCTAAGCTATCTGAAAATCGTTTTAATGAACCTGGGAGTTCCAATTTGTGGTTAGTTTTAAGCTATTTACGTCTCCATTTTGGAAACTGGTGTGGTGTCGCTAATCTTTCTCATAACGCTAATAGTCGAGAGATAATAACCGCGAGATTTTACTGCAAGTCGTGATCATCACAAAACTGGATCACAAGTAACCAGAAGTACCCTTTCCCCCACGAGAAAGCCGTTGAGCAGCCTCACAAACACAAGATAAAGTAGGTCTCAATACAACTTTTCTCTGAAACAGTAGATAATTAAAAGGGAAGAATTAGTATATGACCTCGACCACATTTAGTTTTTCTCAATTAGAAGTTTAAGCTAATATAGATTATTTGTAAATATATACTTAGCAGAGCGAGACATGTGGCACATGTATTTACATATTACAATAGCACGTTTCCCAATACGTTTTCTTTGTCATCACGTAAACACAGAGATCATTTTCGAATCTATAAAGATATACTAGTACCGTCTGTTGTATAGTGTATGTCCATATAACTACTCCCCCCCCCCTCTGAATGGATCTTCACCAAAGTTGGTGTGGAGGTTTGTTGGGTCCATGCGGAGATACATGCAAATTTACGATTTCACATTTT